ATATATATATATATATATATATATATATATATATATATATATATATATGGGTTAAATCAAATGAGAACAACGAAAAATATAATAAATATACAAGAACCGGTTAAAAAAACATTTTTTTGCATGATCTTTTTCATCAAATGTTTAAGATATTGTTTCACATATAATTTTTAATAATGTGATAGTTTCACATTTATAATCCTTTTTTGGCTCTCATTTGAATATCGTTATAATATATATATATATATATATATATATATAAATGATTGAAATGTGAACCTATGTTAGAATTCACATGTTTACATATAAACCACTTAAAAACATCGAAGTTCATGTTCACATACGAGAGTTAGGCAAATGAGATTTAATTCGATTTATAGATTGTAAAATCACCAATGATTTCAAGTTGAATAATTGCATAAAGTTATTAATATCCAAAAACGTATTTAGGTTCTCTTGATTTTGTCAGGTTTTCTACTAAAACATAGTAAGGTGAATTCATATCTACTTTTACCTTACTACATACGTGTTAAAACTTCATTTCTTGCACATTTACAAGATCTAATTCATTATCATTCCAACAAGTATGAATGTATGTCGATTTTGACCTAAATGGCAAAATGGACCATTGTCACACAAATTTCTTAACTTCAAGGGTTTTGTTTCATGACTCAAACTGGTGTTGGTTAATTTGTTTCAAATATAGACTCATTCGATCATTTTCCCTATCACATATGTGGTTTGGCACAAATAAAGAGTTCATAACGTATTTGGGTATTTTAGATCTACTTGCATAACTCTTACTTTACCTTTAGGAAACTCTTGGGAAACATATATACAAACATTGTGTAGACACTAAAGGTATTTGATGACTTGAGGTTACGCCATATTTGGGTGTGCACTAAAGTCATAGAATATGAGGTGTAATCCCGATAGTATGATATGTGTCGATACTATTGTGTTTTCGCCATCTTCAATGGAAACGGATCTCCTCCCGATATCGAAAGATGTTATGTGCATAAACTGTCAGGTTTTGGTTTATTTCGGGAGCATATTCCCTACATACAAATGTTACAGCTTCTGGGTAATATCACTTTATCTATATCTTTCTCTATGGTTGGTTTTGTTGTTCCATGTTTAACTGTTTGAACTTACTAGACAAAGTAACATTTTTTCTTGTCAAACATGTACTTCAAGGTCCCTCTAGTGGCGGATCTAGAGCTATTTGAGGCATGACTGTTGGTGTTGTTTAGCTTTAGTGGTCCAGTCTGAGCCCATCCATTTTTTCAATGATATTGTTTAAATCCACTTTTCTAACGGGTCAAGTGAGCTGGGTCTAACGAGTCGTATCGTTTGTAAATATCAGTATTACAGATGTACAAGTCTGCTACGCACACTTCGACCAATCTCGTGAGAGTAAAACTTAAAAAGATAGCATTTTAATATCTATAGTGAACTTAAAAAATGGTTTGAAGGTTGTATGTGGTGGATGCTTAATAAAGAAACAAGTAGCATATATGAAATTATTTAGAAATTAAATAAAAAACCAAAGTGGTGCCCACTTCTTTTCATCCAATCATATCTTGCCACTTGGCTTTTACACAAACTTTGACCATGCTAAAAATGGAAATTTTGATTTTGGACCACCCTCTATTCCTGTGCTGCAACTTCAGTGGTGGCAACCACCTCTACTGCCGTCGGCTTCTCATCTTCCTCCACAGCCTTTTCGGCCTCCTCCGCCGCCGGAGTCTCTTCTTCCACCTTTGCCGGAGTGTTTTCCGGAACTTCCTCAGCCGTCACCTCCACCGGAGTTTCCTCCTCAGCTGGCTTCTTCACCTCTTCTTGTTCTTGAGCCGTCTCTGTCTTTGGTTCTTCTTCTACCTCAGTTTCAGTCTCCTCCACCACTTTGGTCTCCGATTTCACCGGTGCCTCCACGGTTTCCGGCTCTTCCACTGCTGGTGGATCGTCGGCAATGGCTTCTTCCGTCGCCTCCTCCGTTGCAGGTGGTGCAACGACCACCGGCTCTACTTCTTTTGGTGCTTCCGGGATGTTCTCCACCTTTTCCGGAAAAGTGTTTGCAGCTGATTCAACCTGAAACATCCATTAAAATCCAAGAACAATGTTGATGCATTCACTTTCATATCCCGATCGATAAGCTAATCCAAACATTTTTTATAAAACATCAGTTTGACACCGTATAAGTTGACAAACATTTTTACAAAAAAAAAACACAAGTTGTTTTAAATTGGACTGTCAGATCAACCAACAAAAAACATTCAAAACAATCATTTCGCTTCGCGATCCTTCAAAACTTTACTCGAGCATCGTTAAACGAGTAGATCATAAGTTGAGGTCTGAATCAAAAGCTTAATAATTAAGGAGTTAAAAATAAGTGATAGAGAAATTACCTCAACAGTTGCCATTGAAAAGATATGAATGAATAAGTGAGAGATGAAAGATGGTGTTGGAGATGGAGAGTGAGTGAAATAAGAGGGACATGACATCTATTTATAGACCTTCATATCCATTTTTTATTAGAAAATTATATTTATTTAAATAAAATAAATTAATATTTATTTAATTGAAATGATTCAGTGAAGGAATGGGACATGTGATTGAATCGTATCACTTGTCTTCGTCTATTATCATTTTATATTCATTTTTTTAATTTTAAATCTTAAATAAATTATTTATTTTACAATTATCTAATTTTTTATATCAAAAACCCTCTATGTATATTCACATGTAAATTAATATTTACATCAAAAAGTATCAAACTTTTACGGAAAATATGTATAAAACCTTCATAGAAATGTGATAACTTCGAGAACCGGTGTATTATGTGCAAATTTAAATGATTTTTTTTCCATTTATGACTTGGATTTGATGTATTAAGGGGGTGTTCGGGATTGTTTATTCGAAAACAACTTATGCTTTTCTACAAAACTATTTATCAACTTATTATAAGTTAAAAGGGTTTAACTTCTTCAAAAACTTCTTATTACCAGTTTGACACCGGTATAAGTTGTTTATCCAAACACTCAAAAGTGTTTATTACCAGTATCACACCAAAATAAGTCAATAAATTGTTTTTATAAACAATTCCAAACACCCCCTAATTAACATACATTTGTTTCACATTGTGAACATTTTTTATGCGTTTTTGAAACAGTAAATACAATTAAAAAGTTTCAGATTGTGAAGTGAATACATATGAAATAAACACATTATATGTTAAACCGTATATTAAATTCTAGCTTTGGATGGAAAAAAAATTATATGAAACAATAACTTACGATAATAGTTTCCGCAATTATTACTATATATAAGGTTCTCATATGATTTAGCTCATACATATAAGGTATATTTCAAATGCAACCATGTTCATTTGTACAACCAATGCAACTCAATCAATTAAAATATTTATGGAAATGAGGAGAATTCATTTATTATGATTTGAATATTTATGGAAGATGACTAGAGTTCATTAATTATGATTAATACTTTATATTAGAAAACAATCAAAACTTTTATGAAATCATATATTCATCAAATTAAATGGACGGTTGAGATTGAGTTGTATTGATTGTACAAATGTAAATGGTTGTATAATATATATATATATAAGAAAGAAAGAAGAATCTTGATGTTACAAATTGACATCATTTGAAAGTTGTCTAGTTGTAAATGTATTGTACTATATATTTTATATGAAAAGTACATGCGGATGAGGGCAATAATTTACAAGATTTGATTGAAATTGTTATAATAAAGCTTGTATCATGTGTAATAATTCTTGTACATTTATCATAGAGAGATGAACGATCAAATGAAAACCGCTTTTATTTGTGTAAACCATGTAAACCAATCTTATTCATCTATTTTCTTGATCAATGGTCAAGATTAGTTTAGGTAATATTAGGAAATTAAAAAAAATTATTTTATAATCCCAAAAAGGGTAAAATGGTAACTTTGGTAGTAGTGATATTAATGGCAACCATATCATGTATATCGTAATATTAATGAAACAAAATCATTTGTAAAATAATATATTAATTTTATGTTCAAATATTATAAAAAAAAATAACATTCATTATTAAAATAGATCAACAATAAAAATAAAACACATTATAATCAATTTAGCATAATGAAACCTTTTGAATAATAATAATAATAAATTTACTACTACATTTCATGAACGATATAGTTTCACAGTTTTCATCAATACACATATCAACGTAATGCTAGATGAGATATTTGTCATTTTCAAGTTCCCGGTAGATGGATCCGTTTCAATCTAATTATGAAATGGTTTCACTGTTTGCTAATTAAACAACATGTTCTTAACAATTATGAAATGGTTTCTCTGTCATTATGCACCCATTTCATCGACAAAGTTTTTGCAATCCGACATGGTTTCACGGTTTCATCAATACACTAATCAACGTAATGCCTGATGAAACATTTGTCATTTTCATGT